GCAGGAGGGGCGGGGCTAAGAGACCAGGCGTCGCGGCTCGAATAGCGTGAAATTCGGCTAAAGGGGGGGGTCTAGATGGAAGTGGGCGGAGCCTAGGGCTGGGTGAGGTGCTAGAGATTGGAGGCTAGGCGGGGAGGCTGGGGGCGTCGGTCTCGGAGTAGGTTGTGATGGAGCTAGGGGGTGACACACTGAGTACAGAGCAGAAAAATCCTAATGCTCTGAAGTAGGGTCCAAGCCTAGGTTTGCTGAGGGAGTGGGAAAAGGAGAGGGAAGAAACGACTCAGAAACTTTCTATGCAAGGTGAGGAGCTCGGGCATGGGTGAAGCTTAAGCCAATTACAATTATTCGAATAATTGCGAGGTCAGAGATAGAGTCGTGGCCTAGAATGTAGGAAAGAACTGGCAGCGGAGAGGGCACGGCCCTGAAGGTAGCCACAACCTGGAGAGAGGCCAGTTTTGACACGCCAGAGTTTGAGGGCTGGGATTGGAATCAAGAGAAGTTAGAGGCGAGATCGGGACTGAAGAAAATAAGAAAGGTCCGAGGTTGTGGGCATGAATGAATGAGCAGGCCCTGAAAGAAGAAAGCAACTGAAGCCCTAAGAAGAATGAAAAGTTTTGAGGCTTGGAGCTGGACCACTGGTGTGCAAAGTTTGGGCTGAAAAGGGCTGGGACCTGAAGCCAAGGACATAGCGAGAGAACACAATTCTGGAGTTAATTTACCTATAACATCGGTTACTCCTTGTAAGACCTGGGTTCCTCTTCTGCAAGTTGGAAATAATGATGTATAAAATCTGTGGTACGTGGTAGGTGCTATGGAGTAGTTTGTTACTATTATCCTTTTTTCCTGCCCCAGATCCCAAACCTCTGAAGATGCAGGAGAAGAGAACTAGGAGTGCAATTCCTTCTCGTAACCCGGCTTAAGTGCAGGTCAAGAGATAAGAAGGAGATTTGTTCAGATAGTTTAACAAAGCGGAGGGGATTAATGGGGGGAGGTGCAGAGGGTGGAGCCTTCCTGATCCCTAAGGATGGCGGCCCTTGTCCGCCTGCTGGAGCGTCTCCTCTGGCCTGCTCTCAAGGAAGAGGAGGCCGAAGGACTCAGGGCCCCCAGCAAAAGTCGGTCTCTTCTGGACGTGAGGCGATGCGCTCAGCGGCCGCATGGGGGTGCGGCAGCGTCGTGGAGGCTGAGCTTCGGGGCGAGCGCCGTGCAGGGCTGGCGCGCACTAGTTGAGGATGCGCACTGCGCTTGGCTCGCGTTGCCTAGTCTGCCTCCAGGCTGGGCTTTCTTCGCCGTCCTCGACGGCCGCGGCGGGGCGCGAGCTGCCCGCTTTGTCGCGCGCCACCTGCCAGACCACGTGCCGGAGACTCTGGACCTGGCGCCGGACAAGCCCGAGGGCGTGCGTCAGGCTCTGCGCCGAGCCTTCTTGAGCGCCGACGAACGCCTGCGCGCTCTCTGGCTGTGGCGTTGCTTATCTCCCCGAGCTCTGTGTACCTGGCTCACTCCTGAGCCGCGCTGGCGCTGTCGCCTTCAGCACCGAGCACCGGCCCCTTCGGTCCCGGGAACGCGAGCGCATCCACGATGCGGGCGGCATGATCTACCGCCGGCTCGTCGAGGACGCTCTAGCCGTGTCGCGAGCATTGGGCGACTTTGTCTACAAGGACGCCCTGGGGAGGCCCCCCGAGTTGTGGCTCCGTGCTGCGGAGCCTGAGGTGGCCGCACTGGCACGCTGGGATGAGGACGAATTCATGCTCCTAGCTTCTGACGGCGTGTGGGACTCGATGTCTGGTGCTGCTCTGGTGGAAGTGGTGGCGTCACGCCTCCGTTGGGCCTACCCCCAGAGCTTCTCTGTGCGCAGCTGTTGGACACGTGTCCAGTGCAAAGTCCTGAAGGCGGGACGTGGGACCACTGAGGCTCAGTTCAGTGAGGGAAAGACTCTCAAGGGTTTGGGGAAGGAGTTTTGATGGAAAGGCAAGGGCAAAACTGAAGTGGGGCGTGGCTTACTGGAAGGGGCAGGGCCAAAATACGGAGGGGCGGGGCTTGAAAGATGCTTTAAGGCGTCATGGGAGAATACTAGCGCTAGCTAGGACAGTGGAGGGGGTTTAAGAGAAAGGGGGGGCTTTGGAAATGGGGAGGTTCTAGGACGTTAGGAGCAGGGCCTCAGGTGTGAGTGTGAATTGAGCCCGAAGGTGGAAGAGCTAACTAGACAGCAAGCAAAGTGAGTGGAAATTCAAGAAAGGGTGTGGTTCTCTTAAGGGGATGGACCTAGGGCAGGAGGAGGTCGTGATCGAAAGGGATGGTCCAATTGGAAAAGGGCTGGTTGGGGAACCAGCAGTTAGCCTAATGGCTATGTCGCTGGACTCCCAGTAGTCGACCACGGTTCGCATCCAGGACCCGATGGCTTAAAAAAAATCTCACACCGGGCGCGTGTGCGTGCGTGCAGGCATTGCAGCGTGGCCATCCCCCCTGGGGGGTGATTTCTCACTTTCTGTCTCTCTGTCTCTCTCTGTCTGTCTGGCAAGTGCATGTGCCCTATAGGAAAAACCTCTAAAAAAAAAAGGGGGGGGGGGGCTGGTCGATGGGTTCCTGACTTGAGAGAAATGGGCTAAACCAGATTGAGAGGAGGGGTCTTGAGCACCTGGATTGTTGGGAGATTGCCTTCAACTCACACTCTCCCACCAGCCTCCTTTTTTTCATCCTCTCCAGGGCAGCCTGGACAACATGACCTGCATCCTGGTCTGCTCCCCCGGGAGCACCTAGGCCTTGCGAGGAGGCAGTCAGGAGGGAGCTAGAGCTGGACGCAGGCCTGGGCAGCAGAGTCCAGAGGAAGGTGGGGGGCCAAGCAGGGACAGTTCATAATCCTTGCCTCTTCTCAGAGCTGTGCACCTCTGCTCAGGAGCCCCTCTCCCTCTCCAGCCTAAATGCAGTTTTCAGGACTCTGGCCTCCTGGGGAAGGGCTGTTCTGCAAGTGAGTTGGGATGCGGCAGTGTGCCATGGAGGGGAATGATAAAGGTGCCCCTCCTGAGGGCCTTCCTCTACTCCCCAGGGCCACTGTCATCTCTGAAGCCTATTCTCAGCTCTGCCAGGCCTCAGAAGAGTGCTGGGAAGTAAGGCCCCTGTGTGTTGGTTTAAGAGAGATTTTTGCTATAGAGTGCATGCACTTCCCAGAGACACAAGTGAGACAGAGAAAGAGAACTCACTCCTCAGGGGGATGGCCACGCTGCATTCTCTTCTCGGGACTGTGGGCACATGTACACATGCACCCAATGTGAGTATCTGCTGGGTCCAGGACTCAAACCTCGGTCAGCCATGTGGGACTCCAGCGTTATAACCACTGTATTCCACCTGCTGGCCCTGGGACCCTGGGTCCTTGAGGGTTTCTTTTGGAAACATGTCATTCAGCCCCACTACCCCTTAGTGGTGGGGAAATGCAAGTCAGTGAGGACAAAAGACTTGTTGGAGATCCTAAAGCATTCTCACTCCTGGCCCTAAAGAATGAAGAGTACTAGGCATTGGTGGTGGGAGGTGTGTGCAGAGACTGCTTGTCCTCTAAGATATGAACCCCATAGGCCAGAAGGGGGTGCAGCAGTAGCACCTCTGGTCCCATGTGGGAAGGTTCTTGGCTGGAGTCCCAAGGGCTCCCTGAGCATGACAGGGGTTGCCTGAGACTGGGGTTGGATGGTGGCATGAGGAACTCGTTGGGAGTACCTCTCTGTTTATTATGGAAGAAATAAATATAGTAAAACCTGGGGCCAGCAGGTGACATGGTGGTTAAAGGCACTGGATTCCCACATGGCCGACCGGGGTTTGAGTCCCGGACCTGGAGGCTTGTTTTCTCACTTTCCCTTTCTCTCTGTCTCTCTCTGGTCAAATTAAAAAAGAATAATAAGGGGGCTGGCAGGCGACGTGGTGGGTGAGGGTGCTGGACTCCCACATGGCCAGTATGAGTCCCAGACCCTGTAGCTTGCTTTCTCATTTTCCATCTATTGCTCTCACACTCATGCTCTCTCTTGTTCTGTCCTTCTCTGGTCAAATTAAAATACATAAATAAATAGAGGCAAGCAGGTGGCATGGTGGTTAAGGGCACCGGACTCCCACGTGGCCGACCATGGTTGGAGTCCTGGACC